CAGCTCAGAGCCCTTTATAGCCCTGGATTCGTTTTCCACTTTTAATGGGGACTGTACCTTTCTCAATTATTACTTAATTGAGTAATGTGCATGCATTTGCCAATGTATTTCTAAAGTGGGGTGCCACTGCCTACCTGCCCACAGGTAAGCAGAATCTCTCACACTGACTCTCTGTTGCTTCTCCAGCAGAGTTAACATTCGTTCTGCATCTGTACATGCCAGGCACATAATCACATTTTTCAAGTGTTGAATGTGACACCATGTAACTCTGTCAGCCCTCCCGCACCTGTAGGGCATTTCAGTCCTAAGATGTGTTAATGCAAACATGTAAATATCGGCAGGCTGGCAGTATTTATGCATGCCCATCGTTCAAAGAGGAAAGAGATCCTTTTGGGTCCAGGTTATTTTGAATATAAGACTTTTAATTCCAAAGGTTTCTGGTTTATTGAAGGTGTTGTTTCCCAGAAAAATAGTTGGTAAGTGAAAATATAAAGTGACCACTGCCTAAAGAATTCCAAAGGAAACTGGGCTTGTTTCTTTTCTCCCAGACTTTCCAACAAGGACCCCTTTCTAATTAATAAGTCAAATAATTTTAGTCAGTAACTGATAAGAAAGAAAATTAAATTTTATTTGGTTTGAAAAGTATTCCAATATGCTGAAGAGCTGGTCTAAACTCACGCTAAGAAATTGGACAGTAGCCCTGGCTGGGGTGGCTCGGTTGGGCATCATCCCTTGTACTGAAAGGTTGCTGGTTCGATTCCAGCTCAGGGCACATGTGGGCTTCATCGCTGGTACGAGGTGTGCAGGAGGCAGATGATTGATGTTTCTCTCTCTTGTTCTCTTTCCCTCTCCCTTCCTCTCTCTCTAAAAATCAATTTTAAGCAAAGAAATTTAACAGTATACATATTTCTTCTGCCAATTCACATTTTCTCAATGAGGAATCCCTTAAAACAAAAATAAAAACAATGATCACCATAAATGAGGGAGGGGCTTGTTGTTTTTAAGAAAGGATTTGACAATATGAAGAAGTGAGCTAAAAGGCAAATTTTTCTTTGAGAAACTCCCTTTAATCATGTACCTATCATGAACCACTTTAACTACTAAAGACACAATTTTTTTTAGTTCTATAAATTATGCATCTTAATGGTGACATAACCTCTCCATTAAAACCTTGATCAAGAAAAGGAGCACTTTCTAAAAAGTTCCAATAAGCACAGCAAATCAAAATAGCTTTACAACTATCTTGTTAATGTAATGTTAAATTAAATGGACATCCATATATCCTGACTTCCTCATGCCTGCAATGATGTGTACCACTTACTGTCATGTACTTAAGAGAAAAATATTTACAATATTTGTTAGGATGTAACCAATACACACTTTATGAGAATGGACCCACATGAAAGCTTGCCATTAAAATGTCTTCTTTGATGCAAAATAATCTGAAAGTGCTTACAGGAATAATATTGCTGGTTGTGTGGGTGTTCTAATTGCTGTAGGTGTGTTGTGGGATAAAGCAGAATAGTAATTTACATTGGTGTCTCAAAGACCTATGATTGTCAACATGGCAGAAAAAATAAACAGATGTAAGATTGATGAAGTAAAATAAACCTGGTAGCTCTGAATTTGAATAGGAAGTTTCAGTCTGAACTAATAATGATTTTATCTTTAAATGATATATATATAACACATGTTGTTTACATAGTAGCTCTGTCCATTGAAACGACCAAGAAACAAAGAGCAACCCACTATCAATAAGCGTCTGTAGCACCAAGATCATGCTCCCTTAAATACTAATAGAAGTGTCTGAATCCAGGTTTTCAGTAGGATATGTACAAGAAGAGCATGTAACATCCTATTAATACCAGGAAGCAATGAAGCTATCCAGACTACTAAAGGCATGTCAAAAGGACACAAAAACCAATTAAGAGGTTCTCACAGCCCAAATTAGGATAATCTGAGCAAAAGGACATAATTTTAATGAATTGAATTATTTCGAATATGTTTAAGTATATGTCAATATGTAAATATTAATACTAATAAACTTACTGGTGGCTTTTGGATGATGCTAGGGAACCAACATCTTAAAATTGATAAAGAAAAAGGATTGGCACTATCTCATGGTAATCAAATAGTTAATGAGGGCAAGTTCCTCTTTATAAAGCATATCATCAAATAAATGAAAAATAAATTATGAAATATCACCATTTTGCAACCTGTAATAAATTATTGGACCTGGACAATGATCATTAATGATGGCTAACATAAAAAGAGAAAACTAGACAGTATTTCTCCTGATAGAAGTACCAACCAATGGTCCAATGGTCTTGGAAAACAAACTTAACCTAATAATGCCTTAATATAGAAGTATCAGTGTAAAAGACATATTATACACAATCTAGACTAAGGAAAATTCTATAGAATAAATGGCTATTCCTTTTTTCATAAGAAAGAGAGGGCTTGAGGCTCAAGATGAACAGAGATATAAGTGACATATCAAATCATTGCAATGTAAAAACCTTATACTAGTGGTGATTTGAACAATATATGGACTTTAATGTTCATTTGAGTTAACTGAACTGTTAAAAATATTAATGAGATTATTGGAGAAAACAGACTTAATATATAACGTTATTAAGGAAATATTGCTGATTCTTCTGTAGGACAACGGCATTGTATTTATTTTTAAGAATCTTTATCCTTTAGTAATACATGGTGAAATATTTATAAGTGAAATAATACGATGTGTGACATTTGCTTCAAAATAATTGTTGGAGAGGGGAAAGTGTGCACCAGTATGGATGAAACAGGGTTGGCCAGGAGTTAACAGTTATTCAATCTGAGCAGTGGGTATACAGAGGTTCATTACACCATTAGTCTCTCTATTTTATAAGTTTAACATTTTGTTTCATAAAGAGGTTTAAAAATATTCTTGTTTGAAATTTGGCAAAGAACATCAGGTCACTATAGAAAATCCTTGGATAATAAATCCTCACAACTAAAGTTAGGATATAGATTTAAATTATGGAGATAGTAGCTTTTCAGGTCATTTTGCTCAGCCTTTGCCAATCAGATTTTTCCAAAACTAGGCATTCTGCTCATTTCGAAAACACTAGCGTAGTTGTCTTTTTTGCTCTGGTCGTAGTCCTTGGTGAAGCAACCAGACAGGATTAGACTCGGTGAAGAAAACAGCAAGAAAGCACCAAATAATTATTTTGGCTTTTTTTTCCCCTCTACATTTATTTTGATAACTCTAACAACTGAATAATACCCGCAAATCAATTTACCAGGTGAGATCCCCCCCCAATATTCAACAACTCTCCTCATCGCAGCCAGTAGGAAAATGCATCTCCCAAAGCTAGTCTCTCCCAGTCCCTGTTGTACAATCCACACATCTGTGACATGCCATCTTATTGAAAGCTCACAACAAAAGCCAGTGTGATATACACACATAGAAACATATGACATGCTAAGTTCTTCTGTGTTACCGCAAAATGGTTCTACGGCTTCTATAACTGGGGGATACCCCGAGCGCTAACTGTGACTAATAGAAAAAACTAATAAATCTAATTGATTGCATTGCTCTGGGCTAGTGAGAGACTAAACATTTCCAAAATCCCTTGAGACTGGTCATATTTATGTAGAATGGCGCTACATATGAGATTACTTCTTTGAAGCACATACTACTTCTTTTACCTCTACTGCCTGTCTCTTTGGACAGCATATACTACACTGATTCAAATCTAACCCCTGGGATTCTTCTTGGTAAGTCTAACAGTGTAAGGGGACAGTATTAGATCCATTTCTGTCTTGCATTTCATTAGAAGCTGTATATTTTTGGCACTCAAAAGTAGAAAACACTAACTTCATCTACATTGTCAATAAAAGATTTTAAAGTAATTGTCAGCATTGAAATTATACCCAGAGATATCAGAAAGTCCCCCCCCACACACACACAAGTACATATCCCAATATAGTTAGAAGTTTACATTTGCTAATATTGAAGAGTAAAAGGTAAACATTTTGACATTTTGAGGAATCAGAATGTTAATATTGGAATTATAGCCAATGCTGAACTTAACCATGGTATTACATGAATAAGCAAAATTCACAGATAATTAAAACCTTTAGCAATTACTTTCAGTATTTTCCTTCAACAGTGCTTTATTAGAACTAGATGTATGAACTAATAGCTTTTGATTTATAATTCTGCTTCTCTCCCATATACTCATTACCTTTCTAGAGGAAAAAAAAGTCAGGCAATAGAATTATGTGGGAGCTCAATGAGGGGGATGGAGAAGAAACAGGAGAAATAAGGAGTAGGAAAAAAAATGAAGTGAACAGGCCTCAAAAAAAAGGAACTGGGAAGGGTGGTTTATTGAATGCTGCAAAATAAATAAATGCAATAAAATATGCAAATAAATTTTTGAATAATTGAGTGAATAGTATTTATATCTCATTTCTCTTCAAGAATCCACTGTTAATGATGTCAAGTAATCCATGATTTCAATATGATATTCTGCTTAACATGTTAGACACCAAGTCGTGGTGCTCACAATCCTCGGGTCTATTTGCATGCAAGAAGTCATGCAACCTCATCAGAGAATCAATGGCCTATTTGTTTTGTGATCTCAGGTACATTTTTACCACCACTTGCAAAGGAGTTTAGGTCCGAAAGTTCCTTAGCATTTCTGTTTTTGAAATATTAAGGAACTCTTGGCTAAGATCCAATTTAATCAATAGCAAATTGAGCTAAATAAGAACAAATCTAAAGATATCCTGGGAAAGCATCCAGTGTTTTTGCCAATCAGAATGGAAAGAACAGAAGGTAGTGTAGGTGGAATTAATGGGACCTGGTTGCTGGCTCATCAAGTAATCATAATAGTCAAAAGCACATAACAATCAGTTTGAAAAATCATTCTGTTCATTTGATAGCTGACAAAAGGACTCAGCGAAGATTCAGCACAAAGGACAATAAGGCTGCTTTTCAAAGGACTCACCTGTCTTTCCCTGTTTCCTTCTTAAAAACCCCATCACAGTAACTCATGCGCTTCTCTGTGGTGACATAAATTTGGGCACTTGGATAGATGTCAACAGTCTTTTTCAACATGTTGTAAACGATGCCATTGCCATCTTTCCTCATGTTGCGGAAAGGGCCCCAAATCACATAGATAGTAGCGTTTGCCTCTTTGAAAAAATAATCGGGGTTTTTTAGCAAAAGTGGGACGCTGGTATGGGACACAACTCGAATCATTGTCATGCGGCCAACATCTTCTTCGTAGCCCTTGGTGGGGGCATTGTTCATTCTCCAGATGCAGGAGGACTGATCTATCTCATTCCCCACCTTCTGGCCAACCATCTGACCTGAATTGGACACGATGGCACAAAGGTCACAGTCCAGTTGCAAAGGCTGAAAAACAGAAAGAGAAACAAGACGAGGGAAGAAACATGAATTAGTAAGGTCCACCTATCCAAACAAGTTTCTCCAGGAAAACGGAAAATTCAGATATTACATATAACTGCTGAATGTAGGAATATCTCTGAAATATATATATATATATACCAGTCCGGTAATGACTGCCACAGGTTATCAAGCTAGGGTATGCTTTCATTTAAAAAGTGAACACAGATGATGAAGAAATGCTTTTAATTTCTATCCCTTTGTGTTGGTTTAAAGTTAAATGGGAAAACTGTCATTTGTTTTCCACTCTAAATGATGACTTTTCCTTCAAAACCATAATTTCAAATGAAATAAGGAAATATGAACAGAACTATCTCTATAATAAGGACAATGGCTTAAAAAGAAGGCAAAATGGAGATATCCAGGCAGCAATTCTATATTTTACTTATATGTATGAGTGGTTATGTAGCAGTTGATGGAACTAGAAAACATTCAGCAAATGACAAGTTTCTAAAAAATATTTTTAGAACCCAGAACTACTTAAGACAAGTCTCAGGCTGCAAGAATATTACAGAGACCCTTAAAAACTTCCTTTGCATCTCCATGTTGGCTGGCCTTTGGGTTTAGGTTTATTCTGGATGGATGTGGAGAGGCTTCTTTTATGAACACAGAGACAGCACGTCCAGAGACAGTCTCTAGGGCTACTCTAACCACCACCCTCCCTTTTTCTAACAGAGACTCACAGAGGAGACGTACCAGCTCTTAGGACCTGCCGACAAATTCCAATTGCAGTGGTGAATTCAAGTCTAGATCTTCTTACTCTAAACCCACTGCCCTTCCCATTATTCCCTGATTCTATCCTCTAAAGCTAAGTATATCCCTTTTGCCAATTCCCTCCCATATGAAGAAAAGTCACCCTATCTTTTAAAGCAGTGACAAAAACAAGACAAAACAAAACAAAACAATGCGCTTTGTAGATATCCCTTCTATGAGATTCCACATTTTGTATCAGACCTTTGATCTAGGCTTTCTATTATGTCTACCGGTCAGTGGCCCCTCTCACACGAGGTACTAGTGTTGCACTCCAATTCTTTTTTAATTATATCTGTCCAGGAGACAGTAAATTCTGAAAGAGCAAAGTCAATGTTTGTCTTCTTCATTTTAACCCCACTCTCCGGAATTCCCTGGAATACTAAAGGAGCTCACTATATAGTGGTTAAGTTAGGTAATGAAAGCAACTAAATTAAAATAATTTATTAGGAGTCTGAATACTGAACTTAATATCCGGGAAGAAAGGCCTTTCCCAATTCATCTAGAATTGTTAATTTAGATGAAAAGAGAAAAGCAATCTAGAAGGAATGCATCAATATACTAAAAGGTTCAATCTCGGTGGGTAAATTGACAGGCAAAGTGCTTCAGGAAACTCACCAGGATAATTATCACACAACTGTAACAGATCATCTTTCCTATCGATGGTTGGGGCCCAACATATTATTGAGCAACTCCTCTGTGTCAGGTACTGCTCTAGGGGTTGGGGATTCCACTGTGAAAATTTTCTTTTATTTATTTTTAATCCTCACCTGAGGATATTTTTTCATTTATCTTCAGATAGAGTGGGATGAGGAGAGAGAGAGAAACATCCATGTGATAAAGACACATCGATTTGTTGTCCCCAACCCCGACCAGGGCCAGGACCAAACCACAACCCATGTATATGCCCTTGACCAGAATCGAACCTGTGACTCTTTGGTTCTCTAACTCAGTGCTCTAACTGCTGAGCAAAACTGGCCAGGGCTCCACTGTGAACATTTTAAACGAATATCCCTGCCCCCATAGAGCTTATTTTCAACTTGGGGTAGAAAGACCGTAAGCAAATCCACTTGGAGATAAGTACCAAGTAGAGAAAATTAAAACAACAAAAGGGGCTAGGGGTGTGTGTGTGTGTGTGTGTGTGTGTAGAATGATCAGTAAAGGCCTCAGAAGAAAAATGAAATGTGAGGAAAGACCCGAATGAAGAGGACTGGCTATGGGGATATTTGAGAGAAAAGTATTCCTGCAGAACAAATGCAAAAGTCACTGCCAGGTCCCCAAGGCAGGAGAGGAACAGTCAGAGAGCACTGTCGTCTGGCAGAGCATTGAGGGGAGCGAGTACCCCGGGGCAGAGAGATGATAAGGGAGACACTGTGCAGGGTTTCACTAGGGGCCACTGGAGGGTTCTGAGCAGTGGAATGACTGATCTGAGTGACATTTTAACAGCTTGGCTGCTGTGTGGAAAATGACACAAAAAGAAGGCAAGGACCGACCTTGAGAGAGCAGGCTACTGCCACAACTGAGGCCAAAGATGGAGGCTTGGAACAAGTCAGGTAGCAGGGAGGGTTACAGAGCCCGTCACGTTCTGGATATGCTCCGAAAGTAGAGCCTACTGGGTTGACCAGAAGGTGGCACAGAGGACGTGAGAGAAAGACGAGCGAAGGACAACTTCCGATTCTCAGCCTAGGAACCTGGAAGACCTGGCGCTGACTTTAACTCAATGAGCAAAGTCTCCAGGAGGAGCAGGACCTGGGAGGAAGAGAGGAGCTCATTCCCGGACCTGCTAGGTTGGAGTTGCCTTGAACACACTCCTACAGCAACTATAATAACAAAACTACTCAAAATGCTTTACAAAATTTCGCCTAGTTATTAAAGTAATATGGGCTTGCTGTGGAAACTTGGGGAAAAAAGAGAACAGATAAAAGAATATAAAATCTTCATATTTCTATTACTCAACAATTGTTACAATGTTTTGTTGGATTTTCCACCTTCTAGATATATTATTTTAGACAGGTTGAGAAATACTGTTTATATAATTTGGCAAGTTTGGTTTTGGTTTTCTATTTGACTTTACGTCATTAAGCTTTTCCACATCAACAAGCAGTCCTTAGAGATATTTTTAATTCCTATGCAGTATTCTTTATATGGGTATACCGTCAAGTACCCGTTTGCGTACTTCTGGACATTTAGTTATTATCTGGCATTTCTTCCTTTGTACAAAATCTGCTTTGATGAACATACTTGTGTTTCCCATTGTCTTTTGGGTGCTAACAGTTATACATTAAATTAACTTCAGTTCTTTCATTTAGTTTTCATTGTAGACCTATAAAATATACTAGATAGACAAAGGCATGTACTTATTTGAGATGTCAAAATTAAGAATTTCGAAAAAGACTTGACTTGTAGAGCCCACAAGGGTCCATTTATGAGGTATTTAAAAATGTATCAGAGACTGTCCATCATTCCTGCTACAGTTAGATTTCTGAACTAAGGTGGGCAGCAGGTGGCCCAGGCACCAGGTAGAATAGGTCTGGTCTACTCAAGGTAGGTGAGTACATTGGGGCACTTGAAAATGGGGTTTGGGGCTTGGTGCCATAGTGACGACTTCACCAATGGCCAAATGGAGACATAACAATGTGTCTCTTGGGATTAGGCATTGATCGAAGACCCCTCATCAAGCATCTAGGAGTGACGATAATCTTTTAGAGTGATAGGAAGAACACAATATTCTTTCTGCCAGGAGATTTGCAGTAGGGCCCGACATTCATTACACTCACCCGAGTCCTCCAAAGTCACTCTGAGTCATGCAAATCAATGCCTGATTTACATAGTGTGTGTCATATGGCACACTCCAACTTATCACCACGATGCATCTGGTGTGGGGAAGTTACATTCAATTTATTGTTCCAAGAAGTCGCTTCATTGTATAATAAAAACATTTGGGTGGGGGGTGTATATGGACTTCACAAAATTTTAAAAGTCAAACAGAGAAAAGGAAGATGTAAAGAAAATGCCTTAGATGTGTTCTAATCTACAAAATGCAGCAATTTGCATTGGATTTCCCAGTCACAAGAATGAATTAGTTAGTTCTTCTATAACAAGACTTAATTTAACTAATAAGAATCAGCATACGGGTTTCACTTGACAGTTGTAACCCCGGAAAGTGATCAATTAAGACATCACAATCTGTTCCGTGACAACATATCAGGGTGCTGCAGCTGTGCAGATTATGAGGTCACCAGCTGACTAACAACTCGAGGGCAAACAATAAGAACAACAGCCTCTTATTTAAGTAACAAATATGTAATTGGGCAGAGTGCTATAAATACAATGCCATTGGGGGTAGATGATAATTTTTAAATTGCTCCTGTATTTCATAATATTCACTTGGCCGTATTGTCACCATAACTAGCATCTTCGGAAACATCCACATGTCCCTTCTGCGTGGTCACCGTCCTGCCTAGCTGTCTGACTTTGTGAATGAGGTACCAGGAGACGTATGTGCACCCAGTGACGGCCCTATCTGCCACCTCATTGCAGGAACTGTCCTTACATTATGATAGGAGTGCAGGGCTAGATGAGTGAAACATTCTTCATCATAATTGAAGCTTCAGGTAACACAAAGAGCTTGCTTGCTAAGGCCCAAGGGACTCATTGATACACGTGAAGGCACCTTCAGACTACAGTAAGCAAGGATAAAAAGAAAGAAAGACCTACTCACAAATAGACGGTTTGACCCTAGAGCTGCTCTTATCTGGTTATCTGAGCTCCTTTTATTGGCTTTATCCCTGCATCTTGTGATCGCAACTTTCTTTGTTAAAATGCACTGCTGTTTCTTGAACTCGTTTATATTATTTGATATGGGGTCCTTGCTTGAAAATTTATTTCTTATGCCTCCACGCTCTCAGTTCTATCTCAGTAAGCAGTTTCTTTCGAGATTGAGGCCCGACCTTTGGAAAGATTTATCTGGTTCTACTTTATCAAGCCCTCTCTTTATTTTGAATTCTCCTTTTATGTTGACTTGTCCTTATTTCTGTCTTTTTTTGTTTTTTGTTTTTGTTTTTATTACAAACAAACTTGACTTCTTCATCTTTTTCTCTTGTACACTCAAAACATCATCAAGCCAAATGCTTTGTCTGGGCTTGGGTTGTATCTATAGACAGAGATCCCGACAAATATACAGCCAAGCCTGTCTTAGC